GTGGGGTTCTGATTTCCAGGGAGACATTTTCCCACCCAGTGCTCAGAGCAGAAACGAGCATCGTTGCTGTGTCTCTGGCCCAGTGGGTAGGATTTCTCATCTCCCTATGTGGAGAGGAATCCTAGCTTTATGTTAAAGGTCTCATGCCCATCTGACACTTGCCCAGGTGGGTATCAACATCCCAGCCACTGGCTGGTGGGTCTTCTGAATAGTTCTACACCCCCTCAAGCAATCTCAGTAACAGTTACCTATGTGTATCACTGTAATATGTCTTCTTTTTAATTTCTGATTCCTAGGAATTTGCATCTCTTATTTGTATTTTTTTACCTAGTTTTTAACTAGTTTATACTCAGTCATCTGTTGAGTATGACATTCTCTGTTGTTGTGACATTCTCTTAAGAGTCTTTCTCTCTCACTATGTCAACTTTCTCTCTCCTGTGCTGGCCTCAGATTCCAGCAGCTTGCTTAAGATTGCAACCACTTAAGTGGTTGCAGGAGGGCCACTCCCCATTCCAGGCTTGCATCCCAACTCAGTAGTCATAGAGGAAATAAAATTCTTCTCTAATTTCAGCAAAAGCCCAGAGATCACATCCCATTGGCTGGTTTGGATCATGTGCTCCTTCCTGAGCCAATCACTGGGATCAGAGGAGTCGAGTGTTGTGATTGGCCAGAACTTGGTCACATGCCCACTTCTGGAACTGGAAGGGTGGGATCCATCCCACCCATGCTCCTTGGACTTCGAATGGAGGAAAGACATGGGTCTGAAAGGAAAATTAGTGTCCTAGCTTCCATCAGAAAGGAGGAATGGAAACTGGATGGGCCAAGTAGATGTTCATCTCAGAACCTTTAGGCTCTTTAAGTCCCCTGCACGTGAAGCTTCAAGTTTTAAACTTTCAAAGATGCAAACCTGTGTTTGCATGTGCAATCACATAACTTAGTTCATGTGTCTGGTGTCCATTGTCACGTGTGTGCATCCTCTACAAAGGGTTGTGCTTTTGTGTACTTTACCGTGCGGTGCTGTATTAAGTATAGCAGTGCAGTATCTTTATTTCAAGCCCAGGGTGTCTGGAAGCAAGTGTAAAAGCAGCAGTGATGTAGCTGATACTGTACTATACTTTTCAAGTTCCTATACTGTAAAGTTAAAAATGTTTTCTTTATTTTTTGTGTTTGTTTGCTTTTTATGTATTATTTGTGTGAAAAGCATTATAAACTTAGTATAGTAGTATATAGCCAATTGTGTTTGTTGGGTACCTAGGCTAACTTTGTTGGACTTATGAACAAATTCACTCTTGGGACTGAACTTGTTTTTATGTAGGGGACTTACTGTATTCACATTCCCACTTTCAATCAGGGAAAACTGAGGCCCAGAAGAATTGGTTTAAAGAAAGATGTTCCCAGGGAAACAGTGGATCCATGCATTTAATTCAAAACTCTCACTTCAAACTCTTTGCCTTTTGTCATGGGGTCCAGAGGCCAGGATTAGAAGAAACACTGGATCCTTTATCCATAGCAGACCCCTTAGAGTCCATTAGCTCTTCCCAACCATAAGATCACTGCCCCTTTCCTTCCCTACTCTGCTTCTTGCTTCTCCTTCATAACATCCAGTAGATTGTCCAGTCGGAGTTATCCTAGTCATTTCACAACCAGTGCCCACACATCTCTCTCCTGATCGCCAATCACCTTCCTTCCTCCCTGTCATTAAACCAAACATTAAAAGTAAAACTTAGCACATCAAACTTATGCAGAAATAACATCCCAGCTCAGCTCCAGGAAACATCCCAGCCTGCCATGATAAACAGCTGTGTATCACTTTTTTTTTAATTAATTTTTATTGGAATTTAGTTGCTTTACAATGCTGTGTTAGTTTCAGCTGTAGAGCAAAGTGAGTCAGCCGTATGTATACATATAACCCCTCTCTTTTGGATTTCCTTCCCATTTAGGTCACCACAGAACACTGAGGCGAGTTCCCTGAGCTACACAGTAGGTTCTCATTAGTTAAACTGCTGTGTATTGTTTATTATCTGTCAGTTTTCTCTCTAAAGACTATTCAGTGACTGGCACGTGGCCTGACACAGAAGAGGCTTTTAATACATGTCCCTGGAACGATCAGATGAATGAAAATTGGGCCACTCAGTGCCTGTTCTTAGAGGACTGGGAAGAATTCCAGACACAACACAATTGTCTCCTATAGTCCCTGGCCTGTTCAGTGACCTCAGAGTCAAAGGCAGCCAGGAAACTAACTAGCAACCATGGTTAAGACTCAAGACAAACTGCCTGGACTCAACCCCAACTCTATCAGTTAGCTCTGCAAACTTGGGCGAGCCTCAGGTCCCTGCCGTATTTCAATCTACTCACCTGCAGAAATATGGATAATAGTATCTACTTTGTATATTGATGGGAAGATTAAACGAGTTGCCAATGAAAATGACTTAGAACAGTGGCTGGTACCCAGGACTCACTATGGACATCTTAGCTACCATCACCCCCAGGGTAGGTAGAATAACAGTACACCAAAGACTGCCACATCTAATTCCTAGACCCTGTGAATAAGTCACCTTATGTATCAAAAGGGACTTTGCAGTGGTGATTAAGGGTCTTGAGATGGAAAGATTACCATGGATTATGCAGAGAATGGAATACACTGAACTCAATGTCATCACAAGGGTCCTGATGAGAAGGAAAGGTGGTACATCAGAGTGAGGGGCAGGAAATAAGAAGGCTCCAAGGACATGCTCAAGTGAAGTCTTCCCTAATAAATACAATGGAGCCTTAATTCAGTGAGGGCTTTTTATGGGGTCTTCCCCCCTGGTAAGGATTATGCTGGAGCTGTCATTGCCTATCTGCATTTGTTCTTGTTTCAGTTAAGCTGACTCTCAGGTCTTGATATAAACCCTGGATGTTTTTTTCCCCCAGCTTCATCAACCACCAGGTCTGGATTTTAAGTCCTGCCCCTGAGTCTTTGGGTTCTCCTCTAGGATTGGTAGGGGTAGGGGCAGGATGCAGGATCCTAAGAGAAGCGTCTCCCTCGTTCTCACCTCCTCCCATCCCGCGTGGATTTTCTAACTGCCTCTCTCCCCACAGGAAGCTGTGGTCAGCACTTGGCTCCAGTTCAGTGATGGCTCCGTGACTCCCCTGGACATCTACGACACCAAGGACTTCACCCTGACAGCCACCTCCCTGGACGAGGCCGTCGTGTCCGTCCCACAGGCCCGCTCGCCCAAGTGGCCCACTGTGACGGCCGAAGGCGAAGGCCAGGGACCCTTGGTCCGAGTGGACCTGACCATCGCGGAGGCCTGCCAAAAATCCAAACGCAAGAGCGTCCTGGCCGTCGGCATGGGGAGCATCAGGGTCAAGTTCGGCCAGAACGATGCCGACTCCAGCCCCGGCGTGGACTACGAGGAGGCTGAGATCAAGAATCACGCCAGCGACCGGCGCCAGAAGGCCCCGGAAGGACCCTTCTACGGCAGCGCCTCCGCGGAACGCGAGGAAGCGGTCCCCCGGCGGGGCAACCCCACGGCCAAGTCGCTGCTGGACAACAAGGTGGGCAAGAACAGCCGGCTGGACGCGGGCCGGCTGGCGGGGGAGGGCCAGCTGCAGACCATCCCCATCGACTTCGCCAACTTCCCGGCGCAGGTGGACCTGCCCCAGGCTGGGGGCGGGCGTGGCGCCGGCGACCTGGTGCAGACTCCCCGCGGCCTGAGCGATCTGGAGATCGGCATGTATGCTCTCCTGGGGGTCTTCTGCCTGGCCATCCTCGTCTTCCTCATCAACTGCGCCACCTTCGCCCTCAAGTACAGGCACAAGCAGGTGCCCTTGGAAGGCCAGGCCTCCGTGACACACTCGCATGACTGGGTGTGGCTGGGCAACGAGGCGGAGCTCCTGGAGAACGTGGGCGATGGGTCTCCGCCGCAGGACGAGCACACGACCATCATAGACCGCGGGCCGGGGGGCTTCGAGGAGAGCAACCGCCTCCTGCTCAACGGAGGTTCCCAAAAGCAGGGGCAGAGCCAGATCCCCAGGCCGGGCGACTCGGGGGGCAAGCAGGGCAGGGACCAGAAACACGAGCCCCTGCACTCGCCCACCTCCAAGAGGAAAAAGGTGAAATTCACCACCTTCACCACCATCCCCGCCGACGACGGCTGCCCCACTGTCAACTCCATCCTAGGCGGGACCGAGGAGGACATCAAATGGGTATGCCAGGACGTGGGCGTGGGTGCCCCCAAAGAACTCAGAGACTATCTGGAGAAGTTCAAGGACAAAGTGTAGGCCCCTCTGGTCGAAGGACCAGCGCCTGGATGCCATGCTCCTAGGTCCACAGTAGATCTGGGGCTCAACAGGGACTCTTTGGGGCCCGTCTTCAAAACTGTTCATAGTTGGAAGTTCTGAAGCCGGGAAGGGACAGTTTTGTGATCACAGGTTGATGATGGCAGACTTTCTCAAGTCGGCAGAAAAAACTCTGGGAACGGAGCTGATGGAGACATTTTAACTGCACAAGGCCAAATTAGGAAGGTTATTTTATGACTCAAAATATAACCCAGACAAGCTACCAAAAAGTATTTGTTTAAAAAAATGCAAAAAAAAAAGACAAATAAAAAGAGACAGAAGTAATCATCTGTTTATATTTCTAATAAAGGATCAAAAATATAAAACTAGGGCCTGCTTAGAGACATTTTCCATTTTAATTCAATTTTCTTTTTCCAAGGACCGCCTTTGACTGTCACCCTGGGCTTGGGGAGGAGACATTTCTGAATATGGGTTGTCTGTTGGGATAGACTTGAAGATTTTTACATCTTTACTTAATAATCTTTTCTTTTTCCATATTCTCTTTTTTTCCCCTTCTTTTTTTTATTTTCCTGCCTTATGTTTATTGATTTATGTTTAATGTTTATTCCTGAGGATCAAATGGTATATTTTCCTAAATTAAACAAGTTATATTCCTATACAGCGGATAAATTTTTAGAAATGACGTCAGTTAATCCATTCTTTAAGTATTATGTTTGATGCTTTGCTTTATCCGTCCAGCCTTGTTGATATCTGCTGGGGTTTCTACAATTAGAGAGAGTTCTCAGAGCCTTTTGGGGGATGGGGGAAGGTCACCTTCACCCTCCACAGGGCCAAAACCAGTGGGTGGGGCAGTAGCAGAGGCCCGTTACCCAGAGCCCAGCCAGGGACCCCTAACCCCTCAGTTTCTCCATCAGCAGTGCCCTAGGGATGCTTCTACAGAGGAAGACAAGGTCAGAGCCACAAGCTGGAAACCATCCACACCAGTAATCAGCGCCAACCTCCAAGGGCAGACCTAACCCAAGACACGCTGATACCATGAAATGAACAGGGATCAAACAACTGTTGGAGGGCTTTTCTGTTCTTTTTCTTACTTTGTTGGGCAGGGCATGCCAGCATAAAGGGAAAAGACAAAAATCTATGTTAGATTGTCAATCAATTATGTTTTTTTAACAGCCTAATTGTGTAGCAGCACATTGCAAAATGCATTCATCCAAAGTGAAGCGTGATCCCATGGAGAGTGGAGCCTGGCAGGCTATGGTCCATTGGGTCACAGAGAGTCGGACACAACTGAAGCGATTTAGCACACACAAAGTGAAGCCTATGAGGCAGAGAGAAACTAGGATCATAAACCCTCAGAGCCCGGTCTGCCTGCAGACGCTGGCGAGGAAGACTCCAGGCGGTCATGTGATCCTCAACGTAGCACAGCTACTGGGGTTGCTTCCTGTTGGTTTTTTTTTTAATTACTAAAAGTAATAGCTAAGAAAGGGTCCTGGAAGCCTCATAATCTAGGCTAGACCTTTTCAAAGGATATTTCTAGCACATATTATAGACAGTAAAAAGGAGCTATTTATTTATACCTGTGATGCCAATTGTCATTAAAACATTTTCCGTGGCTTGACAAGTCCGTGTCTTGTGGGCTGTCTCTTATTTCACTTAATTCCTATTACGACTTCTCCCCATCAAATGTACAACGTGTTGAAGAAATAAACCTGTCTGCTAGGCAGGAAGGAAAACAATACTCTGTTTGTTGGCTTGTTTTCCTCTTGGTTTCTTGGCTGAGCCACAGTAATTCCTCATAAGAAAAATGTTCAGTCATCTGTCCGCTGTCATCTACACCAGGGGTTCTCAAGTGAGTGTGCTTAGGATCACCAGGGGAAAATGTGCATTCCTCAAGAGTTCCAGAGTGATGCTGATACTGTTGGTCAGAGGTGCCCCGCTTGTGAACTTCCAGTTTACATCAAACATGAAAGAGAGCCTTGACATCGAATGGGAAACTGTTGAAGCTCTCATCTGGGGAAAAGTTGTACTTTTATTTTGATTGGTTTTGCATTTGTTGTTGCTTGAAGTTTCTGTGGGATTGTGGTGGCTGTTGGCTGGTTGAGAGAGAGAATTTTTTGGTTGAAGATGAGGTATTTTTTAATAGCTGTTTTATTTTTTAATTTTTAAAAAATTTTGAATAACTTTTAAAGATTACTTTCCATCTGCAATTATTACAAAATATTGGCTACATTCCCTGGTGTTGTAGAATATATATTTATAGCTTATTTATACCCAATAGTTTGTACCTCCTAATCCCCTCCCTCTATATTACCCCTTCCCACTTCCCTCTCCCCACTGGTAACTACTAGATTGTTCTCTCCAAGTCTGTTTCTTTTTTGTTTTATTCACTGGTTTGTTGTGCTTTTTAGATTCCACATATAAGTGACATCATACGGTGTTTGTCCGTCTAACTTATTTCACTAAGCATAATACCCTCCAAATCCATCCATGTTATTGCAGATGGCAAAATTTCAACCTTTTTCATCTCTGGGTAGTATTCCATATATACTTTATCCATTTATCCACATCTTCTTCATCCATTCATCTGTTGATGAATACTTAGGTTGTGTGCATATTTTAGCAATTATAAGTAATGCTACTATGAACATTGGGGTTCACTCATCTTTTTGAATTAGTTTTTCTGTGTTTTGCAGATATAAAGCCAGGAGTGGAATAGCTAGGTTATAGGGTAGCTCTATTTTCAGTTTTTTGAGAAAACTACATACTAATAACAGCTTTATTTTGACATAATTCACGTAACATGAAATGGACTCATTTAGAGTACACAGTGGTTTTTAGTATATTCACAGACTGGCATCACATCAATTTTAGAAAATTTTCATCATCCCCAAAAGAAGCTCCATACTCATTAGATTCACTTCCCATTTGCCCAGAACCAAATTCCCAGCCCCAGGCAACCACTAATCTACTCTCTGTCTGTATGGATTTGCCTGGGCTCGGGGGCTGGTGTCTGTATCATTATGGGGGAGTCTGTGAGAAGCCAATGGAATTAATATGTTGTGACTATTTCTTAATTGAAGCACCAGATGAGTTCTATGCTCCCTCAGTGTGCCTGTACATAGGCAGCAAAAGAAAACCCTGCAAGACCTTTGTGTGGGAACCACATCCGCTCCTAAATCACGCTGCCTACCTAGCTAGCTCATGTTTTGCTTTAAAAAATTCAGGCTTCACATAAAGAGCAAGAGGTCTGTGGTTGACTCTTAACACTAGTTGCTTCATTTCTGCCCCAGGTTAACACTCTGAAAGGGCCAGCTGCTGGCCTTGGGCAGATACCTCTATGGTCCACTCGGTTCAACTGAGTGACCCAGGTTCTGAGCGCCCGAGTCGATGAGGATGGATGGCAACTTCCTCCCTCAGGGAGCACCTGCTATGGAGCCAGAAAGAGCTAAGAGTCCATGGTGGGGACCAACAGATCCCATTGCCCCTGGAACCGTTGTGGTTTTAAAACTGGAATCTCATCAGAATAAATGGAGTGCTTGGCTACCCTGGTCTACATTAGTGACTCCAACAATCATTAAAAATTTTCTGTTGATCATTTCAGGTGATCAGGGTCTCATGGCATCAAATGTCTCTTTTATTGCAAATGTAAGACTCAAATATGACAGCAGGCAGGGAGGGACACAGCTCCAGTATTGCCAGACTCTGAAACAAAGTAGGACCGTCATCAAGGGTGTTACTCCCCTTCCTGGCTGAGCAACAGCACTGCCCCACCTGCCAAGCCCTTGAGACATGAGCCTGTGACCCCACCAAATGAGTTTGTAGGTGTCTGACCTCTGATTGACTGCCCTGGATGGGTGTCAGCTCTCTGCTGTGAATAAGGTCACAGGTGAGATGGGTGTGTGCCATCTCAAATAGGTGCTGCTATTTTACAGTGATGTGAGTCTGTCAGACTAGGAGATGGACAAAGCAAGAGCAAGACTGACCAGAGAGGCTGTAGTTCTTCCTTCCTGTTAAAATGATCAAGTAGAACAAAGGTAGCATGGCTCTTGCATGTTGGTCCCATGATTCATTTCTCACACATTTGCTGAGCACCTGCTGTGTGCCTGGCCCTGAGCAGTACACCAAGGACAGAGTCATTAATAAGACTTCCATGTGCTGCAGAGGGAGGCAGTTATGGCCCAGAATGGCAAGGGGCAGGGGGAGGTGGGCAGCGCCTTCACCCCATTGCTCTTATGTTCCCATCAGCTCGTCCACACTCATCTGTAGACTCCAGCCAAACTGATGGTGTCTTAGAACACAAGACTGAAAAAAGAAGCTGTGCTTTCTCATATGTGAATTGTTTTTGCTGTTTATTCTCTAAGTTATGTCCCACTCTTTGTGACCCCCATGGACTATAGCACACCAGCCTCCTCTATCAATGGGATTTCCCAGGCAAGAATACTGGAGTGGGTTGCCATTTCCTTCTCTAAGGGATCTTCCTGACCTGAGGATCAAACCTGTGTCTCCTGCATTTCAGGCATGTTCTTTACCACTTAGCCACTAGGAAAGCCCTCATATGTGAATAGATCTTAATTAATATTACAAGTAACCCTACACAACTCAGGGATTAGGGCACTGACCCTCCCTGAAGTGAAAAATCCAAGTATAGCTTATAGTCTGCCCTCCTTAGCCATGATTCCTCCTTATCCAATCAGTAGATTCAATCTGCCAGTCAATCCTAAAGGAAATCAACCCTGAATATTCATTGGAAGGACTGATGCTGAAGCTGAAGCTCCAATACTTTGACCACCTGATGCAAAGAGCTGACTCATTAGAAAAGACCCTGATGCTGGGGAAGATTGAAGGCAGGAGGAGAAGGGGACGACAGAGGATGAGATGGTTGGATGGCATCACCGACTCAATGGACATGAGTTTGAGCAAACTTTATGAGCTAGTGAAAGACAGGGAAGTCCGGCATGCTGCAATTCATGGGGTCACATAGAGCTGAATACGACTTGGTGACTAAACAACAACCATGGATCTTTCAAGACTGTAGCATTCACTATTGAAAAAATCATATACAAGTGGACCCTCGCATTTCAAACCCATGTTGTTGGAGGGCCAACTATAATATTTATTAGCATTAATTTTTTATTATTTTCAATAATACATTATGACAGTAATTTAATAATATTAACAATAACTACAAGGATAATAATAATGAGACTCCATTTAACAAGTCTGGGGCAGGCTCAGTGTTAGACATCCTTAAGTGTGTGTTGTTATTCATTTACAATGCCTCTCTGAGGCAGGTGTGTTACCCCTCCCCCAATATTAGAGATGAGGAAACAGACTCAGACCATTCTTCTCAAGGTCAAGACTGGGACCAGCAGAGCCAGGATTCAAACCCAAGATCATGTCTCCAAAGACTGTGGTCTTAATTATTACACTAATACAAACTTCATATATATTTTCTTGTGTTAAAAATGTAATAAAACCGCCAAAAAGAGTAATTCAGGGTCACGACACAAAATCTAGAAAATGAAGAAAAGTAGAAGAAATAAAGAAAAAAAAGGCCTTTGGTCCCTCCTTCTAGAAATAAAAATTAATAGCTCATCTTTTCCACATGCTTCAGTGTTTTTTCCAAATGACGGACATAATTTTCCATAGTTGTATTCATATTTTGAAAGTATATCATTATCAGTATGACTTTTAAATTACTTTCTGATTTTAAAAGTAGCCCAAGAGTACTGTAAATCATTTGTAGAAATGACCCAGTTCACCCCTGTTGGAGCTTTGCTAATGTCCTCCTAACGTTTTTGCCCTCACATTTCTTTTTTCTTCCATGGTTGAGATCAAAGTGCAAATATTGATTTTTAAGTATAATTAACAGGAAAGTTTCCACAGCCCTCAATTGGAGGTAATCAGGTTCCCAAGTGGGTAGAACAGACTGTGGGCTGCAGGAGAGGACCCGTCGGGGGAGAGGGAGACTGAAGACTACAATCCAGCCCAATTGTTACTCGTCTATATGCTCCCACCTGGAGGAAAAGCTTCAGCTCTCCTTTGAACAAGAGTACCATCTGTTTCAAGTGTGCAGCCTCGGCTGCACTTTCCAAAAGGAAGCTGCACTTTACAGCTTTCCCCCAAGGGCAAACCTGGAAGAGGAGTTGAAAGGAACTGAGGCTGGCCAGCTTGCATCAGTGAGTAGCCTGCTTTCTGTGACGGTGATGAAGGGCTTGCTCTTATAGAAGAGCTCTTCTGGACTTGCCTAGTGGCTCAGTGCTTAAGAATCTGCTTGCCAATGCAGGGACTTGGGTCCCATCTCTGGTCCGGGAAGATCCTACATGCCTCAGGAAAGCTAAACCCACGTGCCACAGCCACTGACGGTCTCGCGCCCTAGAAGCCGATGCTCAGCGACAAGAAAAGCCGCCGCAATGAGAAGTCCGCACACCACAACTAGAGAAAAGCCTGCATGCAGTAACAAAAAGCCAGTGAAACACAAAAATAAATAAAGAATTTTTTCTAAGAAAAATAGCTCTTCCATAGATAATAATGACACAAGTGGCCAGAAGCCCAAAAACCAGCTGTTTCAAGGCATTGGAGAAGAACTGCACTTGAGACAAGCTTCAACCTGGGACCTGAGACCCTCTGCTGCAGTGTTTGTACCTGGACAAACAGTTTCTCTAGCAACAAAATACAAAGAAACTATAAGGGACTAAAACTAACTGTGTGCATGCACAGTTGGGGCAAATTATGGACCACAAGACACAAGAGACCAAAAAAATCCAATTGCTGTTTCGGAAAAACCCAGAGCAAACACAGCGTGTTGGGAGCAAAGCAGGGTACTTCGTATGCCCCCTGCACTTAATACCACCTATGCCCCCTGCACTTAATACCACCTAAGGGGTGGGCAGACCACCTAAGCCACCCCTCAGCCTGACCTCTGAACACAACCCTAGCCTCACCCCATGTAAGGAACCGGCTCACTCCCAACTTGGGAAGCTGGTAAGCACGGAACTTGTTGCTTGTTCTCACTTCCTCCTGTTGTAACAGGGGCCCCAATAAAGCCTTGTTTGAATTTCTTGTCTGGCCTCTGATCAATTTCTATTTAGTAAGGAGGCCAAGAACCCTGGTCCGTATCACAGGTGATCGAGAGAGGAGGCAAAGATCCCAGAGAAGGGGGCTGGGTACTGAGGCTAGGCCCACGTTGGCGACACACTGTCCCCTTGGGGTGTTATGTATGCATACTGTGTTGTTCAGAGACTGCAGGAGATGTGACATCCCAAAGCTTACAGCAGGCTCACTGGGCTGAGCTGACAAAAGCTATATCCAGGACGTCGGAGGCAGCAGGGAAATGAGGGTCTGAAATTCCTGAGATAAGAGACTTGCAGGGAACTGAGCCTTGCGTACAATTTCCTCTTCAGGCCTTTGCCAGTTCCTCCACTGGACATGAGGTGGCTCACTGGTAAAAAAATGTGACAGCAATGCAGGAGATGCAAGAGACGAGGGTTCAATCCCTGGGTGGGAAAGATCCCCTGGAGGAGGGCATGGCAACGCATTCCAGCACTCTTGCCTGGAGAACCCTGTGGACAGAGGAGCCTGGTGGGCTACAGTCCATAGGGTCACAGAGAGTCGGACATGACCGAAGCAACTTAGCACACACAGCACTGGACAGGAAACTAGGAAAGCAAGATAGGGAGGCATTCAAGGCTCAGCTGTGATATGAGTGAGCGCCTGTAACTCTGGGTAAGGGCCACCCTGGGAGGATGTAGATCCCAGGCATATTCTGGCATCTGCACAGGTAGGCAAAGGAGGATTAGCTAAGAAAGTCTCAGGTGCTGGACCTTGGAAGGGAAAACAGATGGAAATTGGGCATGTGAGGCATCGTACCCAGAGATCTGGATCTGGGCACTCTTCATTATGAATATTAATCAAATCTTCACATAGACCTTTTTTATTTTTAAATTTTTATTTATTTATTTTGGCTGTGTTGGGTCTTCTTTGCGGCTCATGGACTCTGTAGTTGTGGTGCACAGGCTTTGTTGCTCCGAGATATGTGGGATCTTAGTTCCCTGATCAGGAATCAAACCTGCGTCCCCTGCACTGCAAGGCAGGGTCTTAACCACTGGATCACTGGGGAAAGTCCTCACACAGACCTTTGCAAAAGTTTCAACGGTGGCAAAAAAAAAAAAGTGTTCAGTGGGGTGGGGCAAGGACAGTTCTGATGGGACACTCGAGGTGACCATGGAGGTCAAGGAAGGCCACTCTGAGGACATGAATCCTGAAGCATGGGATGCCCTCGAGGCACTAGGATGTGATCCAGATAAAGCACCAGGCAGAGGGAAGCACAGATTCAAGGACCCTGCACAGAGAGACGAGTGCGCATCAGGGACCAGCCATTGAAAAAATGCGTGGCTGGGAGAGATTGATTTCCCAGAGGCATGAAAATGGATTCACACAAATAAAAAATTCACTCTGTCTTTCTTCACAACAGTGGAGGACACAGGTCTACTGGGGATGGAAGCCAGAGGCCCAGATAATATGTTGGCTCTTAAAATGGGCATTTTTTTCCAAGTGTTTTGTTCAAGCCATTGGCCAAATACTAGTGTTTTGGATTGGTCTCTGCAGCTCAAAACTTCCAGCTGGAAGAAGCAAAAATTGGGTGGTTTTCCCAAGTGTTGGTTCAGAAAGGTTTAGTAAGCCCTTCTAATCAACAAACAAATAAACAAGAAGAAAACCCAAAGGCTCTGAGAGTCAAGTCCTATTTCAGGAAT